GCTACTCTACAAAACTTGCATACGTCCACTGCTAGAATACTGTCCATTTATACTGAGTGGTATCCGCATAAAAGCAAACGAAATAGAGGGTGTCCAAAGGTATTTCACAGCTGGATTGTTAGGACACGATTGCAAACAAGACTACGGCTCCAGGTGCAGAACACTAAGTCTAGAAACATTTTGGATGAGACGACTCAAAATTGACCTGACGCTCTTCTTTAATGTGTTACATAAACACACTTTTACAACCAGTGGTGAGTTTTAGTTCGAACACAACAGTTGTTATGATCTACTCAACCACGCTCATAACGTCAAAATGAAGCCGTTCAAGTTCTGCTTGCGCGCAAACTTCTTTGCCGTCAAATTCTCTCAGTTGTGGAACAGACTTCCAGCCAAAGTGAAGGCCTCCAAATCAATTTCTGAATTTGGTCGGTTACTGGCTGACTTCCTATCATCTGGTGACTTCTATGGCTCATCAAATACACCAACAGTCTCTTTCACTACACTTCATATACTCGGCTCTCTTAATGTATAATGAGAGCCACCACACCTACACTGACCCTTCATACGAAGCGTTGAGGTAACCTTCATAAGTTACCACCTCAAACTAACTGTACATTGTGCCCTACCCAACAAGATAATGAAAAACAGAAGTCCTACACCACATGACAGCATGAAATTTACATTTTTAGATACTCTATAGAAGAAGGATATACAATGAATGCCATAGCAAGGAAAGTTGAGTAAGGAGAAACATGAACAAAGAAAACACTCTTCTTGTTGAAATTCTTGCTTTCTCCGCCTGTTGCTTTGTCTGTTTTTTTCTCGTTGTAGAAAAATAATTCAGTTCTAAAAGTTGGCTTTGTTGCCGACGGAACAGACCATGGCTGAAACTACCCTTCATGGAGGGTAACCAGTTTTACCACGATCAGAATACCTAACTGCAACAAGCAGAAATAAAAAATGTTCACTGGACTACAACTTCATAATTATCAAAGTCCAGGACTTACTCATCATAAAAGTGACTAGCAAAGTCCAACGCTTACCAACTGCAAGGCTGTCACAACCCGTGAAAACGGTGGAAAAGATGTGCTGGAAGCCCATTTGGTGAATTCAAACATTGCTTCTGGATGCTGGAGTTAAAAAGTGAAGACATTAGCTTTCAGTCATAGCATTCATCAAGATTATGAATCTTTGTTTTGGGATGGTGTTGACATGAATGAATTATACAGTCCTGGAACCGTCAATGAAATACGGTATGTAAACAATTCATAAACTTTTCATCATTATCTCGAGCAAAAAGTACAAACTGTTACAATGGAAGTATTAGCTTCAAGCTTTATTTTTCTCCAGGTAATACCTGTAGTGTCTAGATACAACAAACCCGGTTTTTGTCAATGCGAAGACAATACTTCCACTTGTCCAACTTGTGAATTGTCCACACACTTATTCTGCCTGGGTGTTCCATTATATGAACATGCAGCACTTATATCTCCTAGTGACAGCAGGCGGGGACTGAGATTACCTTCCATGAAGATGAATGTAATTTGTATATCAACTTATTCATACCTGTAAAAATGGTGTGTGCCTGTATATTCAGGAACAAATATTATTGTATGACATTCAACCAGGGAATACCGCATGCTTGTAGACATAAATCTTTCAAGTGATGTACCGGGATATGGTCGGGGAGATTATACATCAAAGCATTATAAGACGACACAATTCATCTAGTGACTTCCTCTGCTACGAACAGGATCAGACGTTCACTTTTGTGTAAGTTCTCGGAGCTAGCATTAACATCAGTATTTCTGTCCCAAATGCAGGCAAGAGGGGCAAATTTAGAAAGGTTGTTATTAATGTCTTTCACATTATCCTGCAGTGAGAGTATGTCATTTTTTATACCAGTAGAGTCACTAATTAAGTCTGACATCAAGTTTGGCACAACTACCTCAGGCTTACCTTTCCGAAGAGTTTTAGTATCCATCAGCGAATTGTGTCTTTGGGCTAGCTGACTAGAATTTGTCTTAAGTCCCCTAACTGCGCATATACGTTCACTAGATTTGGCCATCGTTGTAATTATTTGACGTAAAAGTTTCGGATTAATAATGGTAATATAAACTTAGTTCAACTGTTAATATCTGTGAGTGAATGGAGATGAGACAAGCAGAAACCAACAAATTTAATCAATATGATAAAAATCAGTAAATAATGGGGAATTTTTTAGGCTTCTCTTTCTATTCTTCAGGTTCAACAGAATTCCTTCACCTAAACGGTTCTAAGAACTGTGGTAACCGTGATGAATTTCATATATATATATATATATATATATATATATATATATATATATAGGATTGGACCCAAATACTACTTGATGGAGAAGGTCGAGGGTGGGTTACTAGGTTGTACGCTAGAGTGATGAGTCAGAAGATAGTCCCAGACAAAGCCTATGGACAGTTGCTGAACCTGCGCGAAAAGCAGCCTGTTAAAGCGCGTGATTGTGGAACAGTGCACAGAAGGAGTTAGCAAAGCGACAACAAGAAACCTGTGGCGTCGGATCCGTAGAGAACCCTCGATGCTGTTGGAACATCATGGTAGCCATTCCAAAATTCATTATGCTCGCGGTTGTCTCCTGGGTGGCAGTATCTCTGGTTGACAGTTTGGAGAGTCCAATTCCATCCCAAGCACTTTCGCAGATTCCCAGGACCTCCATACCATATCTTCCCATCTGTTTTGCAATCTGGGCAACCTTGCTAGCTTCAAACACTGTGCGGATGTTCCATGTCCGTATCCTTACCTCTGCTTCAATCGAGAGCAGAGATGACACATCGGCCAGTTCGCTTCGCTAAGGCTTTAACCGAACGGTACCTCCCCAATTCCAAAGAGGAATAATTTGTTTTTATTTTTACACTTTTTCGTGCCCTGAAGTTTTTTAGCGATTGGACTGGTTTTACGGGGCAGGGTTGCTAGCCCCATGCCCAACCTTCCCTATTTATCCGGGCTTAGGACCGGCTAGTAAACTAGGCGAGGTTAATGCTTTAGGGCTACTTATGAAGGTTTTCTCATTCTTTCTGCCAGACGAATCACTCTCGGCGACTGACGTGTCAGTACACGGTCACCAAAATAGGTCAATAAAGTAACACACATACACTGAACCCACAAACCGGTAGGTGATATAAGACCGCATCTACCCCCATATTACAGACACTTAAGGACATCGTGACCTGATTTCTCTCCACATATCATTTAAACACGTTATAGCTAGCAAGAATTCTTTCGGGGTGCAGCTGCCATCTGGTGGCGTGACGTCAGTGGTTTACCTTACCACCCCAACGGAATTTTACAGTCAGGTTTTCCTTTGTCAGGAAAGTAGTTGTTGAGATATATAAACTAAGGGAATAATTTCAGCCACGGCAGTCGACCATAAATGTTTTAGGGTGTGCATAAAAACGAACCTGGTCACATAACGGCCTACACCTCATCTGGTTTTCCGATCGATACTTCTGAACTATGGACGCCGAACTAAGCCGGTGAGATTAGCTGTCGTCATGTTGGAATTATGGCAGTCACAAATCGGCGTCAGAAACTCAACTTAATTCCTTAGTCCTAAAAGTTGCTCATTCTGCATAAAGACCGAATGCATCAGGAAAGTGTCTTCTGTAACTATACCCAAGAAGGACTGAAGAAGATTCAGTTTTAAATTCAACATTTAAACGCAAAATTCTGCCAAAATGTTTCTGGGGGTATTTTACATCCTGGCATCTAGTGTTCATTTTGGAACTAACAAGGAAAAACCAGGCGGAGAGAAAGCCATATCTAGATTTTAGTCCTTTTTTAAATGGCATTCAGGAAGCTCGCTACTTTTGATGGTTGTTGCCAACACTACACTCTTGCAACGGAGGGGACCGGCTAGTATGTGGGGTAGCACCACGTTCGTTGTTCTCTTGTGGAACACCAAACCCACACTTGAATAGATAACCAAATGTTCTATTCTCAAATTAGTATCTAAACATGAGAGGAGCCAGTTTACAGGCATCACTACATTGATATGTGCCAAAAAATCTACGAGATTTTTCGAGTTCTGATTAGCACAGAGGGTATGTCATTAAACCCTACTAAAAAACAGATCCTGCCTGTTATGAAACGAACAAGGAAATATCACTTTTCAGCGTATATGTAGTGTTGAAGTTTAGATAATAATAATTCTCATCATTATATAACGTATTCAAAGTGGGAGATACCAGTTTGCAAGCATCGTCAAA